CAATGTTCGAAGTACGGGCATTTAATAGCTTGTTAAACAATGCTATCAGGTTTGTGGTCTGTTTCCATGTATTATGTATGGCCATAGATATACTGGTGACATCTTTCAGAGAGCAACAATATTCCTAGTAGTTCCTACTCAATCTTTACATGTCTGGTTTCTCCCTTGGTCATTGACTTGGAAACATATGCCACTGGCTGCCAATCATCATTATATTTTTGCAAAGTCACTGTACCAACTCCTGACTGTGATGCATCTGATGAAATTTTTATAGGTTTTTCAGGTGTATAAAAATTTAATGCTGGCTCTTCTATTAGTTGTTGCTTCAACTCAAGTCACGATTGCCCCTGTTCTGCATTCCATCAACATTCATTTTTATTCTTGAGGAGTGTCCTTAATGGAGTTTTTTCAGCTGACAAATTAGATATGAATGTGCTTAAAAAAATTACCTTTCAAGCAACTGTTGTACCTCTTTTTTTTGACTGGGGATGTGGCATCATTTCAATTGTCATAAGTTTTGTTTTGTCAGGTTTCACTCCCTCAGCAGAGAAGTCTGTGATGTCCGGCACAAACTTCACCCCATTCAATTTCAAATTTGCAGTGCTAGCAACCTACAGCACTTCTCAAAGTCTGTGATCATGTTCTTTGGTTGATCCCCAGATGTTAATATCATCCATAGGTGTCCACACCAGGAACATGCTTATAAATCATGTGTTTGGTTTTATGTGATACACTTCAGGGGCGGAGGCAATACCAAAAGATAGATGCAGAAATCGTACCCTCCAAAGGGAGTATTCAATTTATATAATTTAGACCTGTCCTCTGAGCTTCGACTGCCAAAATCCTGAGAAGGCATCCAATTTACTGAGAAATCATGCTTTGTGAATTGGGGCATAATTTCTTCTCTAGCTGGCAATTTAAAATGTTTGTGTTTGATAGCCTTGTTGAGGTGTCTTGGATCCAGCCACATACATAATTGGCTGTTATTTGTCTCCACAATAACTAAGAAGTTTACCCCTTCTGTAGATCCTTGGATTTCTGTATCACTTGTAATTGTTCCTTTCTTGCTAACTGTGCCTTGAGTCTTTCATGGAGAGCAAAGGACACTTTTCTGCATGGCTAAATAATGGAAGGCACTTGCTTATTTATCTGAATTATATGTTTACCTGGCAAACGAGCTAGCCATTTAATTATATTATTATACTTTGACATGAGTGTCTCCTATTTGAGGGATGTGTCTTCTTGTACTGCAAGCACATGTTTAATTAGATCCAGTGATCACAAGTTGTGCCTGCTACCTCAAGGTATGTGGAAAAAAACTTCTAAAGCTGTCTCTAGGTCCAAATTGCTGATTCTCTGAATCAGCATTGATTCTTCAGATTCGGATTCAGCCGAATCAAATCGGGGACAGTGATCCGAATCAACAAATTGAATCACTGTCCCTGATTCGGGCTGAATCCTGATTGAATGTAGCCCACCTCACACACCCCTACTAACCATCCTTTTTATTAGACTATAGCCATGCAGGAAGATCATTTACAGAGGCCCTTGTCCTTCCATGTGGCTGAATTATTCCATGTACTCTATTTTCAAATTCTGTTTTACTTTGGAACTCAAATTCTTTGAAGTACTTTTTCATTCACCACTTCTGACACCATGTAATGTTAAACACACAGAAATATATGAATAAGACAAACTAACAAAAATAAACTTTATTGCAGAGCAGGAGGTAGCCTCTGTGGTCTCTTGGTCTCTCTAACTAGCTACTTAATTGAAGGACCATCTTCCAGTAACCAACTTCCTTAGGTCTCCTTAGTTAGGAAACATCTTTAAATGACAACTTATAGCACTACAGGATCCACAGTAAGTTCCACCTTGTACATGTTAATTAGATTATTTTAAAAGTTTGCCACTGTATTTGGGCCTCTTGCTTCACCAAGTGTAATGCCAAAATAGTATTTTATAGCAGCAATCAACAGTCATCTATGAGCTAAAACCTAATACAACTGACTCTTAAATTGTAAATAGATGTAAAATCTATTAGATCCCCAGTAACACTACAATTTGTGTTACTTTTCATTCATTTCAGGGTAGCTATCCAGTCCATCCTCTATCTTTCCTTGCCTTACTTTAAATTTTAATTATTGTTGGCTACTTGTGGTTAGTTTCAAATGTGTCGAAGTTAGTGAACTTTTGTAAAGACTTTCTATAAACTTCTGCTATTCATGGGTTACTGTTTTGATCTGCCTTTTTTGAGAGGCTATGGAAGAAAAGTTATGCAGTGGAACAGAATGTATAAGTCTCGAGCTTGCAAGGTACTGAACAGTCTGACCTTAAATCGGCATAATCATAATAATAAGCATGCAAGTAGTACCAGTGCATGTGAATGTTTAGTTCTGTGCCTCACAGGACCAAGTACATAGGGCTAAATTTTTAGCACTCAGAATTCGTAACTGGGAATTTTCCAATAATGTTCTTCACCTTACAGCTCCTACTGTAACACTCAAGCCCAGACCTACAAGAGAATTCACTGTATGAAACCTTTTTGAAAACTTGGTGCACAAGTGGAAGGTAAGTTGCCAGTCATTTCTCATAACCTTGTCACTCCAGTTAGCGAATCGACCTGAAACGGTATTGAGTGACTGGATTGTATTTTCACAGACATGCTTGTTTTAAATTAACTTTTTTACCAGATGTCATAGGGCTGACAGAGACGTGGTGGGACTC